AAACGGTTAACTGGTTAAAATATAGGCAGTGTCAGTAACTTGTACTGTAACCTTACTGCTTCAGAGGTGAATCTGGCATATATTCAACCAGCTTCATTGTATCCTCCTTAATTATTTTGCTCCATTCATTCAATATGATGTTTTTGAGCATTTCTTCAGAAATTATGTGGTGCCGATGCTTCCTACGCTTCAGCAAATCCCACAAATGCTCAATGGGATTGGAGTGGTGTACGCAATTGGTGTTCATATTATAGAACAATCACACATTTTGTGCCGTATGCTTTGGATCGCTATCCTGTTGAAATGAGAAATTCTCACCCATTTCCAATTGCTGGGCACTTTGCTTCAAATTGATTTTTAAAATATTTAAATAATCATACTGATCTATCATGGTCTCTAAAAAACAAGTTTGACAACTCCATTCGAAACCATAGATCTCCAGCCCATGATAACTTCTCCACTGTGTTTGACCACTGGTACAAGATTTTCTTTATTCAATATACTGCTCTTATGCCACACTAGCTTCCTTCCCATGATTCTAAATGGGCAAAAATCACTTCATCTTAAAATAAGACACTTTCCCAAAATATCCAATCATTATTTACATACTCATTAGTGAAATCCACTTGTTTCTTTTTTCAATGCTGCCATCTATTTATCTTTGCACTGAAAACACCACTTTTAAACTAATAAGCCTTGTCAAAAATGATGGGAATCTAGAAAAAAGCTCAACAAATAAGTATTTAAAAGGAAAAAAATATATAAAATTTATATCTCATTTCGGTAAATAAGACAACTCTTTACTCTGCATGTACAGACACTTTTTCTGGCAAGTGTTTATCTCAAACATAATTCTAAAATAAAATTTAATTTAAGAGAGATGCTAAAAATATTTCTGCTTGAAAAAAATATATATACATAACATTTATATAAAATTTTTTAAACAGATTAGAAAGCTCGACTAAATATTGTTTGGATTAAGTCTAAATTACGTAATAAATGTACAAAATGAAAGTAAAGAAATGAAATAAGCACAGAGATATTATTAAATATAAATCAAATTTAATTAATGATACTATTCCGTTTTGAGGACCGTAAAAAATCGCCAAACTATTGTTGATGCCAGTGCTGCCAAAAATAATTGTGGCAACCCTAATGCAAGAAAGGAAGTATAATAGTAAATAACTATCTAAAGATTATTGTTTTAATTTTATATGAAAGGTTAATTTCATATAATGCTTTTTTATTATTATAATTTATATAAAAAAAGGCTAAACATAACTGAATGGAAGCATAAGAATTAATAAAACTAGTCTCGAAACTAGTCCTGTGAAAATTTTGAAAATATTAACGCTGATTTTTGTTGTTTGACTTCTGAATTAGAATTTGTTCGGCTTGTTATTGTGTCTTAATATCCAAATTGTTAAATCCATAGGATATCAAAAAAAGTTTTAAAAATTAAACTGATATTTCAATGGCGTTTTAAGAAATATAGAACTAGCTTAACTTACACAGTCTGAAATCAGCGCGTACACAAGATTTGGCATGCTGTTAAATGGGGGCGTTTGCTAGATTTGGCACTTTTGCACATACATTTTTGCTGCAATTTTTTACCGTCCTCAAAACGGAATAGTACCCAATTAAAATAACTAAAATGAAAATTTTCATGTAAATTCTTAAAAAAATTGATTGAAAAATTGATAAAAATTTCAGATAAAGTTAAATGTAGAATCAAACTATGAAAAGAATCACTATGTTGTTTAAAAATAATCTGATTTTATATTAAAAATATATGCCCTTTCTATATATTAATTAAATACAGCATAATTTGATTGAATGTTAATAAAGTCAAACTGAATATTGTAATATAGTAATTTAAAATTATCATTAACTTTTCTCAATAAAAGAACTTTCAATTAATCAAATTTTTGTTTTCTTGTCCCTTTGGATTTATCAAAATTTGAATATATACCCTCATTTTTTTGGCACATGAAAAATGCACCTTAAATTTTTATCCATCCATTTAATAGGATGAAAAAAAGAGAACTGCACAATTAATAGTCAGCAAAACTGATAATTTTGTGCAACTGACACGAGCATAACTTAACTGTTTTATATAATAAACTACACTATTATCTGCATACATATACGCAAGATAAAAAATATAAAAGCAAACTTCTCATTTTAATTGGCTATAACCTCTTCTATTTTTCATTTAATTTGGAGACTTCCTCTCTAAGTTTAAACTGTGTCATTCAAATTAATCATGCGGTCCTATTTAACGTTAATGCAGATATCTCTTGTCCAATCACTAAATAATTGCAAACCAAAACTTCTTTAACATGAACTGAAACTTTTTGACTCTCTCCCTTCTTCCTCTGAATTGCTGTGACACTTACGCTTTCCTCCTGGCAAGATGCTTTGCTGCTGCGTTCTTTGTTCATTGAATATGTGCTGAGCTAACAAAAAATTAGCGCATAAGGGTGCATAAGACGTCCGTCCGTATGTGAACCAAATATTGAGAATGCAGAATTGCTTTCTTCAAAAATAAAATTACATTAAATCTGGCCATGTCTGCCTTCCCGTACATGGCCAGATTTAAGGTAATTTTATTATTGAGGAAAAGTTTCTTCACTACGCTTCTATTACACCACCACCAAGTTCCAAATCATTCATATCATGACATATACAGGATGAATACAGTTAAAGCTGAAATTTCAAAAACGCTCTAACTTTAAAACTATCAAAACTATTTAAAACTATTGGTTAGAATGACTTGATATTTTACCAGAACAACCATAAAGCAGTGGAATTTTGTTTGGTGAAGGAAAAAAGAATAGTTCCAAAACGTGCCGATAGATGGCACTGTCAGGAGTAATGGCCTAAATGAATTCATTAAATACATTTTTAAATAAGCTACATATTAAATGTTAAATACAGGAATGTTGTTAGCCAAAAGGAAACAACAGACTCCAAGGGTTTATGACAAATTTATTCATGAAAAGACAAGAATACATGTTTACAGCGAAAACAGTAGTGACAAGGGAAAAAGAGGAGCATCATGAAACAAATGCCCTCCACCTTGTTCAGCTACTAGTTGGAATTACAAAATGACATGTTCTACAACAGTTCAGAAGTTACCTGCACTGATGCTATGTTTGTGATGCGTGGTGCTTGCCTTCATATTGGCCAGATTCCCACTGTAAACAAATTCTTCAGGTATCCTCAAAGCCAGAAATTACACGGGTTTAAGTTGGGGGAACATGGCGGCCACAATGCTGGAAAATGGCAGCTTATGATTTTATCATCTCTGAAATGAACGATCAGCAGCTGCTTCACACAAGTAGCAACCATCTTGCATGAATACTGTGCGATTCACACACTAATGCTGCTGAAATGCCGGAAAGACATTATTATGCAAAAGTGCTTCATATGGCTTGTCAGTAACAACAGATGTAATGGGACTCACAGGTGTGATCTTCTCGAAGAAGAACGGACCTATAACAAAAGCTGCCGTTTTTCCATGCCATACAGTGACCTTAATAGACTGAAGAGGTAACCCATATCCTGCAATTTCACATACTTACAGATCTCTGTAAATGGGCTTCGCCAAACCATAGAGTATTTATTCTATGGCAATCTATTGTCGACTTCCATCCAGGCAAGAAACTGTAGTGCAGACAATTCCCCGTGCATTGCCGACTGCTGCATCACTGTTCATGTAACATAGTGCCCACATCTTCCACTGCCACCACCAAAACTGGTTTTTGCCCTCTACCTCATTTACAAGTCAAATGAACCACTCTCTTTGAATTGACCTATCATTTCCACAGGCCATATTTTATGCCTTTTAATCTCTGGAACTTCCTGATAGCTGTTAATCCACAGTCACCGTTCTGAGAGAAAAGCTTCACGAGAACAGCGCAATGCATCTTTGTTAGAATCATGATGAAGCATTCAAGCAGAGTATTATGTACTGCCATTAGTGTTCTGCATTTTTATCAGCTAAGTCTGTTGTGCCATGTCACATCTTAACAATGTGTATACATCCACCACAGCAATGTGAACCCTGAACAGTACCATCTATCAGCACATTTTGGAACCTTCCCCCTTTTGTTATTTATATATTATTATTATTATTATTGAACTAATTTATTTACGAACAAAATTTCATTGTCTCACGATTGTTCTGGTAAAATATCAAGTCATTCTTACTGGCAGTTTTAAAAGGGCTTGAAATCGCAACTTTAATTATAATCACCCTGTATATACCATTTAACAATTCTATAGCTACATATTTTCAATTAGCTACATGCTTATCTGCTTTTTAAATAGGCTACATATTTTATCTAAAACATTTTAAAATTGTCTTAAATCTTTAAAAAAGCTTTTGCAATATACCTATTAAAAATAGTATTCCACTCCTAAGTGAAGCCATGTAATAGAAACCCGTGTTGTCCAAGGGACAATAATGCACAGAATTATTTAAGGATATTACATTTTCCTCGAAGGTAGGACTTCTGTCACTCAATATGCTACGGCACGGTTTGTTTGATGTTGTTGCCACTAGTTAATTTTAGACTTTGCCACTTTTGTGGAACCATCTATAACTGGTATTGGAAACCAATTGCTCCTTGGTCCATCCAGTTAAATATTAATGAAGATGTTTGCCAATAGTAAGTACATGTGAAAGTCACTGTTCCTTTCTGGCTGATGTTGCTTGCCAAGAATTGAACTTGTAAACCATCGTGCCATAGGTAGATCACTGAAATGCTATAGTCAAAAACTGCTGTCTCTGACATGAGCAATTTTAGCAATGTTGTTCTTGAACATAGCACGCACAGTGCCATAATACAAACAATACGACATGTTTTAAGCTTAAAAAGGAAGAATATATTTAAACTAAATACCTATACTTAAGGATGAAAACATGAATTTCCAAAATTTTTAACAATAGTATACTACAAGGATAATCTTAACCCTAGTTCAGTGGTACATACCTTCAAACCTGGCATAACCTAATGCCTCTCCTCTAAAGCTCTTGACATACTTCACTCCATACACAATGATTGGTCGACGCAATATGTGAGCTAGAGTAAAAATATGCATTTGTTCCAAGGCCGAGCCTGGCTGTGATGCAAGAGATAAAAGCATAGCCCAGTCTTCTTGCCACTGGGTCTCATCTAAAGAAAACTGCAGCAAATTTGCTTGCAGAGTTTCAGCCTCTTTCCAACGAGGATACAATCTAAAAATGAAAAATCAGAGTAAATAATCTTTTATTCTTTATATAATTAGATGCAATACAGCAAAAGTACTTTTCACACAATTTTTATTAAATATTAATGAAAATGTAATTATTTGATGCATTAGCTGAAAATATTTTCTTTTTAAATAATGGTTAAAACTGCTTGAAAAATTTACATATTTGCATACTACTAACTAATCATTAGCAAGTTTGCATTATAATCTCTTTTGCCAAAAAACTAAATGGCAGTTGGAAAAAAAAATATCATTTATCATCTTATATATATGCTTAAAAAAGCAAACATCACGCTTAAAAAGCAAAATTATTTAAAAATGCTGTTTTATAAAACAGACTGCTCAACTATAAAATAAATTTATATAAAATAAAATACTGAACAAAAGGTTAAAAGAGTCATTTTAACCTTTTGTTCAGTATTACCTCTGTATAACATCTACATTTACATAATTACTATTCTAAAACTATATTATATATACAATATTATTTAATAAAACAGAGATACAGGAAAGTGGATTCTGAAAAATAAGACACTTCAGATTTGATATCAATAATGAATATAAATGGTAAATATAGAAATATATTATTCTAAAATTTGATAACAAAAACACTGAAAATTAATTTAAAAACTCATTAATGTTTGATGTATATCAAAACTAATTTTTACAGTCAAAGGTTTGATAAAAGAATTTTACTTTTAGCCACACTTTCTTTTCTTCACACCATCCTTAAATATTAATAAGACTCACTAGAAAATATTATTACGAAAAGGCATGTTGTTTTAAGTGATAAGCATTGTACTTTTATAATTCTGATTACAAATGAAAGATATAATGTTAGATGAATTGACAGTAGCTTTCTATTTTTCAAATGTAATATTTTTCACAAAGTTTAACTTTTCAGCTTTTAGAAAAAAAGAAGCCACGCTATACTTTTAACATATTTATTTTGTAAAAAATACACTGCCTCCGCATTTAATTAAATTCAAATATTGGGTATTAAAATAGGATAAACTAACTTTTTTTAAAACATTTTTTTAGATTCTGCAAAATAAGTATTCACTTACACAGCAGCTGCTTCACACAGACTTTCTCCAAGAGCACGTCTCAAAGTATTATCACGGTCAAACACTCCCCATGTTGCTTGAAGGGCAGAGTCTAGAAGACAGTCTCCAGCACTGCGGTTCCAGAGAGCATAAAGCCTAGACCCTAATCTTGCAGTAAGTTCTAAGCACCAATTTATTATAGGTGATTCTTCTTCTAGCTCTAAATAACATCAAGTGATTAAAAAACAGAAGAGTAAAATTTAATAAATTATGTAACATATCAAAATATTTTCTTAGTGCTCCACATAAACCCTCCCAACATGGGGGGGAGAAACAATATCTGAATACTACACAGCTAAAAAACAATCAAAATGTACAATCTCTACAGAAGTATTATTATAGATACTTAAGTAAGGTAATTTGATTATGCTAAACTAACTAAAAGTTAATAGTTTACTGATGATAATTTTTGATGCCAATTCTTTCATCAAATGAATTAAACCTAAGTAAAATTTCAGCAGAATTTTGTCTTTTAGTGGATTCACAGTGTTTGAAAAAATACATATATTTATTTTACATAAAATAATTTTTTAATGATTTACCAAATGAATTAATTCTAAACAATACTATCTGCACTTAGCAGTTTTGGCCAATGATAAGTTCTCACTGTGCTTGGAGAGATATGGAAATCTAGTTTATATAAGTCAAATGTGGATGACTTACATAAATTTAAGATATCTATTTCAACTTCTCAGTATTCAGTTTACCAACAACTTAGCCAAACAATATAATTTTTATAGTATATAAATATTAAGTAGAATATTATTAAAGGGAAAATAAGCACAGAAAAATATACTTCAAAAACTCTGTTTTGTAATTGTATTGTTTCTTTTAATAGCTTAAGGATATTAATTATAACAACTTACTACTACTCAGTTTTATGAAATATATAAATGAATAAAAGTTTCCAAGTGATGATTTTGTTTTGCTTCTTAATATCGAATATTAAAATTCTGAAAACTAATTTTTTAAAACTTATTATGCTGGAGAGATGATGAAACCAATACACACTACTGGATTAAGAAATTTAAAAGTGCTAGATTAAGTTTATTATTAAGCTAAAAAAAAGTGAAATGGACATTCAGAGTGCTTCGACGCAAAATCGCAAAACAAAATAATAGTCCCCAGGAACAAAGCCCCTTTGGACTTAAAAAAAAAAAAAAAAAAAAAAAAAAAAAAAAAAAAAGAGAGATTATAACTTTTGATTTCCGAATGCAACACATTACAACCACCCTTATTAAAGAGTAAGTTTCTCATAATAACTACAAATATTATCATTAAAAATGTTCAACAATTAAATAATGGAATTAGTAAAAAGTGTAGCAGAATAATGAATACTGTAAAAACGTATAATACCTTTCTGAGCATCTCTGTCAAGTAAGTCATCAAATAATTTTTCTTGTACTCTAGGATGAAAATCTTCTATTTCTATGTGGAAAGAAAAATATTTTTATTTAATACGGTACTATTAATTGAAACTTTTAAGGTTCTTAAGCAAGAAAAGCGTCATACAAAATTAAAGGTTAATATTATTTTTCTCACATTTCAAAACATGCACTGTAAAAATTCCTTCAGCTTTGATTAATGATTTTAAAACAAAATGCGTTAAAATAAGCATAGCTGCAACTTTTGAACGAACAGGTTAAAGGCAAGAATTACAAACATCATCTGAAGAGCAAAATCAAATTTTGCTTTGAATTGATCCTTCTCATATGAAGCATGTTTTAAATGGAACTATAATAAATTTATTAAAAAAATGCTTATTAGCATTTAAAAAAGTTTTGTAAATAAAAATGACTGTTTTAACAAAGAAAATAAAAATTGCTTAAAATTGTGATTACATATTAATTAAAATGATTATCATTAAATTATTTATAATATTGAATTGAGATGGTGATTTTAACAATATTTAAACAGAGCTATGATGAAAAGTTATAGAAATACTACTCATGTTGGCAGAAGTTTTCTGTACTTTTGAACAAAAATCACTATTTTAACAAAGGAATATATGGCTCATATAACACTAGCAGGTAATGATGTAGTATGTGATCTACCATTTTTAGTTAGTTATATTTCTTTCTTTGATGGCAGCCGTAAAATGTTGTTTTAAAACAGAAAATTTTTACATAACTGAAAATGATCAATTAATTAAATAAATAGCCCATTAAACTTAAATTTCTGTAGCTTCATAAAGTAAATAAGTCAATTGTTTTCATACTTAAACATGTGATAAAATGATAGTAAAAAGAAATTATTAAAACAATCAATTTTAGTGGCCCCATTTGAAAAATAACTAACTAAAAGTGGTAGATCACATACATCATTTACCTACTACTAACCCCTTCATGATGGGTGTATCATCATATGCATCAGTACTTAATCCTCTTATGTGACGGCATGTTGCTTAGCGCAACTCACCTTGGAGATGGTGTGTTGTTGTCTCGCAAGACGGGGTATTTTAAGTCACTGTCTAACTTTAAAAAACAAAATTCATTAAAAAGATTTTTTTGTCAATTGTTTTGATTTTTTTTGCAATGGTATCTAACAGTAATATAATCATAAATACAGAATAGTTTCTGAAAAAAAATTAATTAAAATCTAAATGCAAAGTAAAATATTTGACTCATCTTGATGAAATGCTGGAAAACACTTTCTTAATTCTATATCTAAACATACATAAAAAATAATAAAATATATGATCAATTATTATAGCATAAATGATTCAGAAGTGAGTGTGTGATAATCTAATTGCTATTATTTCATTAGTAATGAAACAAATTTTCAGGTCGAATGTTTTAATTATTCCCAGCAGAATAATTAAACCTAGAAATCCCCTCATTTTTGGTACATCTACAGGAGTATGTTGATTTTGGATGAAGATGGAATTTTACTCATCTTTTGTTCATATAAATTATTAGTTTCTTCAACTATTATGTTCATTAGATTATCAAAACAAATTGTGAAAAAATTAATTTCATTCACATAATTTTGAAGTTTACTTTTGCAATTCCTGTAAATTCATAAGACTTCAATTACTTAACTAATCGAGTTCATGATGGAGTAGACAATTTTCTGCTGGATTGTGAGGTGAAAGCAAAAAAAACTTCCAATTCAGTCTCTGATAAAATATTAAAATTGTTAATCGTTATTCTCACTTAAGTCTAGAATCTTCAGTGACAAAATAGTCACTCACGGGCTCAAATGAACACTCATTGGCTTTACAATTTGAATATACATTTCTTCCCATAAAAATTTCTTTCCCTTAGTCATTGCACTATTAGTTTTACTCTCTTAACTGGTCCAAAAAACTTCCGTCTCCTATCTAAAGAAGATACAAACTGAACACAAACTGGTGTTCCTAAACCACACAGCTTCACTTCCCAATCTTCTCATAGGACAAAAACCATGGACCTTATAAGAAATAGACTAACCCAAACGGGTTTTCTCCCTTGTCTGAGGCGTTGCCGGCTGTCACCTTGATCACATCCGAAGGAGTAGAGACAACTTGCAGAAATTTAACATTGGTTGCCCATTGCAGCGTGTATAATTGTCAAGAAAAAGCTGGTTGTAGTGCCTCAGTTCACAAATTAGAATTTCTACATATTTTTAATTTTGAAATTGAGATTGGTTTTAAAAAATTTAGCATATTTATCAAGCATAATTAATGTTCCAAATAATTATGAAGCTATTGCATGCTTTCAGGACTGGATATTTTTTTAGCTTTTCCTATGCTGTAAGGAAATTTGTAACTACTTCTTTTAGAAAATAATATTTTAAATTTGAACTAATAGAAAATTTCAAACAAGCAATTTTCTCTTGCAATTTTTATGCTTTTTAAATAAATAAAAAATACTAAAATATTTAAAAACGAATTTTTGAAAGTTGTGTTTTAAAATTCTAAATTGTGCTGCTTTTATAAAATTATAGATGAGTATTATAGCACAATTTTCTATAAAGGAATTTATTTCAATTATATTTCATAATACATCATAGTGATAAAAAACTTTTGACTCTTTAAAAATTTTTATACATTTAATTATAATATTAAAATTGTATTTAACCGTAATAATTACTTTTGCTTGTATTTTATGGTAATTATTTTTTTATTTATTTTTTATCTCTGCATAAGATTTTTTTTATTTACTGTTAATTTAATTTATTAGCCTAAAGGGGCGGTAGCCTAGAAAGGCTGTTACTTTCGAAGCGGCATTTTGCGCTGTTTTACTATAAATGACTTGTCTCCTTGCAAATTGTTGTTACCAAATATTATCGCCCTGTATTATATGTAAACAAATTAAATAATGAAGAATCTGCATGAATACATGTATGTTTCTCTCACAGTGACACAAACGACAGCAAATTTTGAATAATGTAATCCTCCACCCGAACATGGGCATCTGGATGGCCGAATTTCGAATTTGTTTTAATCTATTTCATATTTTGTAAAACTTTAACGAATTTTTGATTACGAAACTCAACCAGTTCAGAGCGAGCACTGTACGGAAAATAACAGTTTTATCTCCAGTGTGAAAATTCTAAAGATATGCTGTTTTCAAATGTATGTGGTTTACGGGCGGAGAACATGATATTCAGTAAATATAGGTAACACACAAAACTTTAAAAAAAGGGTTCCTTTTGGGCGTAATATAAAATCTGAGTGCTTCTAGATTTTATTTTATCTTTTTTTTTCCCCGCTTCATTACGCTCAGAAAATTTTATGCTCCGAATTTTATGAATTATTAAAATAACTAATCAACTTTAATGTTAATAATTTAATGATCATATAATCAAATAAATATGATCGTTTTGTAATGTTATTATAGTTTGGAAAATCACTGCCTGAAAATGTTCATTAAATAAAAAAAAATTAAAAAAGTTATCAGATCTTGATTAATTTTACCTTATTTATTTCAAAGCATCGCCTACTATCAATCTTATTTAATTTTACTTTATTTTTATGCAAAATTAAGTTCATAAATTTTGTGCTTAGAGTGTTTACCTTTTTACCAAAGTAACAATGTTTGTACAAGAATTACGCCTGAAAAAAATGCACGAAATGCAGTAAAAAGTGCTTTAATGAGATATATTAGATCCTATTTGAAAAAAACTGAGGCTTTCATAATCTCATCACTATACAACGTATCACATTTAATAATTAAAAAGAGTTATGTGATACAAACACCATATGTTTCAGTGTTAAAGTAAACCAAATCGTCCCTAAGCTTTCTTGGGGACATGTTGGTGACGCCCACCCCACCCACTGGGTTAGTCTATCTCTTATAAGGTCCATGACAAAAACACACACAAAAAAAATCTGAAGCAACTGAAACTGTTTAATGAATGTTTATATCAAGTGAAGCCTCAACTGCTTAGCAGCTGAGTTTTGTTTACTTTCTATCATCTGCTCATACATCTAAACAAATCATCAGAATCAGAAAGCACTTCAGGGACACAAGGTCAACAAAGTGTATATTCAAATAAACCAACTGTAATGGATAGGAAGCCTATCTAGCGATTTAAAAAAAAATTCTAAAAGAACATGTATGTTTGGAAATGCATATATGACACACTAGTTTGGAAAATCATGCAAATGGTGATGCACCAGTGTATCACACAGCAGCTAGTGACATTTGGGGCTGATTCATATATGACAAACCTGTCTCCAGAGGGTTTTCAGTTCAGCAACATGCTGTTGTGAAGGAGTTAAATCAATTATGTTCACAAATTTTATACATACTCCAGGAAAAATACTACAGTTGAAAAAATTAATAAAACATAATCGTTCATGCCAGACTTTCTGAACTACACAACTTTAATACATTGCAGATATTATTATAACCCAAAATATTTTCACATTTGATGGCAAACATACGTTTTATATAACCAATTAATTTTTGATCACAAGAGCTTATTTGCACCTCCTATATAATTTTTAAACATTCTACATCTCTTTCTTATTTTATCAGTTTGATTAATATTACAATGGGTCATTTGCCTTACCAATAACTGGCTCATACTTATGTTACACATAAAGAAAGTCATGAAAAACTCCATATAATCACATCATGTAGCATTAAAAATTAAACCTCAGATCCTACCACGTGTTCAATTCTCTTATCCAATCAGCAACTCATACACCCAAACCTAATTCACTAACTATTAAGTGGAGGTTGCTTCTATACTGAAGTATTTCAAGCATATGTAAAGAGCATGTTTTATTCCATTTATAAATTGAAGATATGTAATTGTCTTTTAACTTCATAAAATAACTTCAAGTATAATATGGATTTAAGTGTGGGCAAAGAATTTTTAAAGGAAATTCACCACATAACGACCATGAATTAAAATCAAAATTTTAATAAGCATACATACAAAGTTCTACTGATAAATTAAATCAAACAAGATACTTATAATATAAATCAGCACTT